TATATATATATATATATATATAAAAATATCAAATTAACGAATTTAAAAATAAGATCATGAAGAATGAAATCTTTGAAGAATATTTTCCAACAATTTTCTCGTTCAGTGCTTCCATATGCCTGATAATTCTTCCGTTCGACATACTTTCTTACTTGTGCGATTCTGTTTACTAGAATGAAATTAAACACTCCAAAGAGTTATGGAATTCTCCTGCAAGCTAAAATTACCCACGAGCGATAATGTTGTATTTAAAAGCAACTAAATTGTCATTTAACATTCGTCCTTCGAATATAATGAGTTTTATCGGGGCAAAAAAAAAAGCAAATATGAAGGAAAAAAATAAGAACTATTCGTGAAAAACACGAACTTCTCATGAACATTTCATTTTTTATACTTATTACAATATAATGAAGATTTGGTGACGAATAAAATTCCAAAGAAATTCGCGCGAATAATACAGCCAATAATTTTTCGTAATCAAAGATAAAAGAAAAAGAAATTAATTTTTCAAGAATGTATTCTTTTGCGGTTTATCTTACGATTAATCTTACGCAAATGAAAAAAAAAAAACAATGACTTGTGCGATTTTTTGCAAAACAACCAGCATTTTTGCATTTCGTAATTTTATCTATTCGATGTTTAATTGAATTCGTTAATAGAAGAAATTCTTCTCTAGATGAGTTTTGTTCTATGTATATTTAAATATATATATATATATGACTATATAGAAATATGTGTGTGTATGTGTGTTACCAATTTCGAATAATTGCACTTGCACCATGGGGAATTGTGCAACGATAGCGAAAGGACGACAAGTTTACGAAGCATGAAAAATCATTACGAATCCACAAACTCCGAGTATCTTAAACACACATCAACGCGTAACGTGATTCATTAACTTCGGTATAATAAATAAAATATATAAGATTACTGTGTGCGATCAAATATTATAGAAATTATTCTACCAAATCCGATGACACTTACTTACACCGATTCTTTCTTTCTTTCTTTTTCTTTTTTCTCCGATTACGTGCCAACATCTTTATACGTAAAGTTTCTTACTAAGTAAGTAAGAGATCGTCAATTAGGTTACTTTCATCTTTACTCACGTTTCTCGAATCCTTTTTCACCACGTGTTTCCACTTTCCGAAGAAAGATCCCGTTTGTATCGATACTTCCTTAACGTACGACCTCCTTAGAAAAAAAAAATCTTCGATCAAATATTTAGAATAAGATGAAAATTATTTATAAATATATATAACAAAAGATTAATACAATAATCAATCGCGTGAAACAAAAATGTACGTTAAATGTAATTCGAATTAATTTCTTTTTTTCTTTTTTTGAATTTATGATTAATAACAATATTTATTTATTTTTATTTTTATATTTATATATATATATATATATAGTTTAAACTATGTTAAATTATTTTAATTCCTATATACGCGAAACACGGTGTGGTACAACAACAATAACAAAAGAAAACCAACATATTGATATAAGACGTTAGTTTGAAAGTGTTGGTGTATATTAGTGACACCATAGAGTTTCGATGTACGATAGCATAAAGTAACCGGTTGGTGATTGGCAATGACCTCACTAGCGGCATTAGCCTCATTTCTGAAGAACCTGTTTGAGTCTTTTGAAACTTTATTTCTTTTACTTCCTTGTTCCTTTCCCATTCGATTCTTTTTACCAACAACCCGAGATTTCTTTCTCTCTTTCTGTTTATTCCTTCAGATCGCTTTCTTTTATTCCATTTTTCTCTTTATTCTTCTCCATCGGTATACCGTTTATCATTGTACATCATGTGTGTGTGTGTGTGTGTACAAAGATCTAAACACTTTTATTATCCATTAACACATGATTAACAAGATCACCATAATCTATTTTCATTTTCCTAAATAAACAGCTTTCATTTTTACTCGTAACATATATATATATTTCATTAGTTTTATCTGTGAAAATTATTATTCTGTAATTATTTTTCTTTTTCTTTTTTTAATTGATTTGATTCGTTTAACATCTCGTCTCGAAATTATGTTAAAATCAATAATAATATATTATCATATCAAATTGTTGAATAAATTATAAAACAAAAATACATGTATTATCTAAACATGAATCTATTTTTTCCAGTCGGTATAAAACATGCTAATTGTAAGTAATTAAAATCAGTATTGATGATGTTCAATGATTTGCGATCTATTTGATAGAATTGAATAAAGATGAGAAGGTGTTCGGTAGTGAAGCCATTCAACTTATAAAAGGAAAAGTAAAAGAACAATAGTATATTAAAATTTTATTAACGAGCATATACAAAATATATATAATTTAAATTAATTAATATTCATAATATATATAAAATTTTCGTAATGATAAAACAAAGTACTAATAAGCTTTGATTTTCTATTACTTCCTAAAAAAGGAGTTCACGAAAAGGCCACGTAGAGAAAATCAAATATTTGTGTTACACGTTGATCGTAAAAATTTATCGTTCAAATGGATCGTCTAAGTTAATTATTTATTTTTTCTTTTAAATTTCTAATTCCTAATCTAACGACCAATTCGTGTCATATATTTTCTCAATTTATTTCTTAAATCTTTATTTATTGCATCCAGTATCCTATACGGGAAGTAAAAAAAAAAATATTCTTTAACCTCGAATTATATTTTGATAGATTTATTTGTGAATCATTATTTGTATAAATCGTCGTGTTTCTTGATTATTACCAATTAAGATTGTTCGCTACTTCATAACCGCAAGAACAGTTAAAACGTTTGATTAACAATTACCAGTACCACCCCTTACCGCAGACAGTTAAACAAAGAGAAAGAAAGAGAGAGTTATCATTACAATTATTAACTAATCTGACAACGAAGTAAACAACATTATACTCATATAAGCTTCCGTCAAGTTTAACACGTTGAATGCCCCGTCACCCAAGCACGAGTCACAATTTCCTCGTTCTGTTATCGCGTTTCCCACTTCGAGACCTTTATGAGGCGTATTGTATTATTCTTAACCTTTAACAGTTTTAAAAATGTACCCCCTATTCGAATCGAAAGATTTTCATTAAGAATATTAAAATGAACACAATTTTTCTTGAATAATTCAAAAGGTTCGAGACCTTTGTTACGTTACGACCTTATTACATATTAACACTTTAACTACGGATGACGTAATAACATGGCGTCAAATTAAAAGCTGTTATTTGCCATCTTGGGCGTCATATGTGAATATGTAAAATAATCGTCATTATCTTTTAATTGCAGAATTTTATTATTTTATACGAAATAAATTTTCATTTATTCCGTTATATATTGTTAAATATGTATATACATATATGTATGTTTTATTTTACATGAAATTTTTGTGTTGTAAAATTTCAATAAAATTTCTTATTTTTGATAGTTTCTCTCTCTCTCTTTCTTTGTTATTTATCAAAGAAATTTATAAAAAAATAAGCATATATATTTTATTCCGAATTTAACGGTAGGAAACAAACGTTATGAACCCGTAGATAAAGTGTTAACATATTAAAATATTATACAAATAATATATAATATAATAAAACCAATAAGATGGTTATTTTTAGGTTATATATTTCTTATGGTAGAAAACATGGAGACTACACAAGGAGTACGAGCTCCATGTATATAAATGGTATATAAAAATAAGATGGCGCCCGTGTTTCATTTGTACCAAAATGGAAGGGGACTAAGGCGGTAGTTTTTTAAATAAAAATAATAATACTTGAATAGAAATAGTAGTAAAAAATGAATAAATAATAATATTAATAGTAAATTAGTAATATTAATAATAAAAATAGTAATAGTAATAATCTGTACGTTACTATATTCAGAGCAGTACAAAAGGAACATTAGCGACACTAGTAGGGGAAAAATGAAAACCTTAATATATGATTTGCATGGACAGTTTTTTGGCAATTAATACATTTGAGTTCGTATTCCTTGTGTAGTCTTCAAAGTAGATAGCTTCAGTAAGAATTGGATGAGTGACCGTGTAGTGCTAAAAAAAAAAAACATAATTCTTCTTGGAATTATATTTAAAGTAAGAAGAGACTTATTTTATCTCGTCGTTGTCGCGTTTTATTAGCAATTAATTGCTTGTTATCATTAATGGCAAACAATTGTTCCNACATCTACCCTATTATTTTTAAATCGGATGAGCATCTTGATACGTAGATTTCGTTAATGTTGTATTTCCTTGACGCTTTTGGACATTCACAAATTCCTTAATGAACTATGTAGCTCCATTTCTCATATCTGCGGCCATATCCAATTAAAGTTTCTTTTCCGTTTAGTATTTCTTGTTTCGTGCTTTGTTTTTTAAATCTTGATCTAAGAGTATCTATAATTATTTTAATTAATCTTATTTTATTACCAAGTTTTTTCTCAATCTTACGAAATGTTTGTTAAAACTTCCTCTCCTAATCTTTTCATGAAAATTCAAAATTAGGAAAACAAATTAAATTTTGGTTTATTTTATTGATTAACATAACAAATTAAATTCGTTAATACATTATTTATTATTTCCTTAAAAAAAAGTGAAATCATTGAAGCATGGATATGAAGTTATTACAAGAAGTAAAGCAAAGTTATAAGTGGGATATTAGTTGGTTCATGGTAATATTTTTATCCTATTTTCATATTTGCTGCCTTTATGGAATTTATTTAAGTTTTACTACACTGAGATTGTATACAACGATATTCGGTAAGTCATAAACAAATCAACTTTATTATTATAAGCTATGTTACGCGATCCATTGCTATTATCAATCGCACAATGTCATATATAATAAATTTATACAATTATCTCTCTATCGTCGATCATTTGCGATTTATATTTATCGTTAGAAAAAAATAATTAATATGAACTATATGAAAATATAGGAACAATAGTCAATATACTATTCTTAATTTTTCAGCGATAATTAACGTTCCAATAACACTTCTCGGTGTTACTGCAGGCACTCATAGATTATGGGCACATAAGTCTTACAAAGCAAAATGGCCACTAAGGGTATTCCTAATGATTTTGCAATCTACGTCATTTCAAGTAAGTCCATTCACTTCTATTACGTATACGAGAATAATATAAATAATAGTCAAAAAACTTGTTTATTTAATTCTGGTAATATAAATACTTATATACTGCAATAAATATGATATAATTATTTTAAATAAAAATATGAATTAAAAATAATGAGTAAAGCATTGAATATCAGAATGAAATCTATTATATCTTTTGATTAAAAATAATAATTTTTTAAAAAATATCACATTACATTCTACAAGAATTACAATCTATGAGACGCGAATCAATATAAAATGATGCATGTATGAACGGTCGAAAGTTATGCAATAGTGTGGACAAATGAGTGCAACAATTATCGATATTGCAGAGACCTATTTATTTATGGGTGAGAAATCACCGAATCCATCACAAGTACACCGACACGGATGCCGATCCTCATAACTCGAAAAGGGGTTTCTTCTTTTCTCACATTGGTTGGTTGATGTTAAAAAAACATCCAGATGTTATAAAAAAGGGAGCAACGATAGATATGAGCGATCTTGACAAAGACCCAGTGGTCATGTGGCAACTAAAGTAGATATCAAATATTTTAAAATATTTTCCTTTCTATTAAATAATCGATATGTTTGCTTGTTTTTTTTTTTTTCTAGACATGCTACAATTGTCCTGACACTCGCTTGTTTCGTCATTCCAACGTTGATACCTGTATTTTTTTGGGGAGAGGGTTTGATGAACGCTTGGTACGCCACGACTAGTAAATTCATCTTTACTATAAACATAACCAGTCTAGTAAATTCATATGCCCATATGTGGGGTACAAAACCGTATGATAAGTACGTAAACATCTGTTTTCTCTTTTATAATATTAATTATATCACCTACTTGCGATAGTGTTAACTATTAGATTATATATATAAAAAAAATGATGAAGTATTAAAAAAGAATTGTCTCTTATGTAAAAAAAACTTTTAATACAATATTTACCATTATTTCTTTTTCGCAGTACCATATCTCCGACAGAAGTCCCTGCAATTTCATTTCTTACAGGCGGTGAAGGTTGGCACAATTATCATCACGTATTTCCGTGGGATTACAAAACTTCTGAATTAGGAAACTACAAACTAAACTTRACAACGGCATTTATCGACGGGTTTGCAAAACTAGGTTGGGYTTATGATCTAAAGACTGTTTCTCAMGAAATGATTGAAAAGCGTGCATGTAGAACTGGAGATGGTACGAGCTATCAACATGTCGATGATCAACACGAACACAAATATAAAAATTCTGTTTGGGGTTGGGACGATCCAGATATTACTACTGAAGATATTTTAGATACAAGGATATTAAATAAGGCCGAATAAGACTATATTTATCGTTTGGTGGTGGTATCGAAAAAAAATTCCTAAGTAAAAAGAACTGTAACCTATCATCATTGATATTAATGATCGTTCTCGATGTAAAATTAATGCTATTCTGCGATAATTTGACGCCGATAATTTGTCTTAAGAATATATTTATGACAATAACATTGTACTTTGCAATTGATACAGTACTATTAAATAAATAATTCTTTTATAGCATATTTTAATGTATTGTTCACGTATTCCTTGAATATGTAGTTATAATATTATTATCATACGTAATATCTGATATTGCTAACATTTTCTCTGTTGAACATACACTTCTTATATTGAGAACTCATTTCATAAAACGCAAAGAAGAATAAACGAAAATTGTATCTTTAATTAATAATTATATTCAGTTAATGTGACGTTTTACCAAAATTTTGAAATATATTGATATTCTGTATTCTTACTTTCATATAATTTTTCACTAGAATAATTAAAACAATATTATATTTCAATCAACAAGATATGTCGACAAAGCATGTTTACACTGAGGAATAACCAAATTYCTAAACTACAACAAATTTTGTTCCATATACACGTACGTATCCAGATTTCTAGAACGTTTTCTTTTCTCTATTTCTATTTTGGGGCATGAAGTTATAAGAATTTTTTTTTATTTAATAGACTTTTTATCTATGCATATATGCATAAACGCATGTACGTAGTTACAGATTAAATTGCATTTGAAATACACTTTATTCCTTTCAAAACTGTTAAGAAGTGGGGTGGGTAGTAATGAAAGAGTATTGCGTAATATATTATTACTTGAAGTCATGAATCTTTTAATGATATAATTCTACCGTTTATGACCACTTTGTTTTCGTCGAGTTTAACTAGAACATAGGTTACTTATTTATCTTATCAATTTTTTAATAATATAGTTGTATTTGTTTTGACCACTTTGTTTTCATCGAGTATAACTGAAACAGAATTGAAACATATTTAAGGTAAAAAGTTAACAATTGTTCTCGTGTGAAAGAATGTTTTGTGTTCAATCCAATGCAATATTAATCCCTGATATTCGTTAAAACAGTATAACATTGTTAATATAAAGTATTAATTTCGACAACAAACTATTACGATTTCTTCGAAAACAACGGTGAATTTATTGCGTACGGACGTGAAATAGAAATAGGAAATTGTACATTCAAAAAAGTGATTCTGTTATCGTCCCGTATACGATCGGTTGGAAAATTTTTGGCAAACGAGCTTTCGAATAAATAAAGATCGTTTTCGAGAAGGCAAAAAGGGTTTGATTATAAGAAATGATTTAAAAAAAGATTTTTGAACAAGTTTCAATTGTTCTAAGATTAATCTATTTTTATGGTATTGGTGCAAAATTTCATACATTTTTAATATTCATTAACTAAGGGTCGATAATATAAGATATCGATAACTTTTTAATTTATAAATTAATAAAAATTAATATA